TGAAACGCTGGTGTTAGCACAATCTTCTGCAGACCGAATCTTCTGCTCAAAAGAAAAGATCTTCAAGAAATGCAATTGCGCCTACACCCCTTTCTCACAGGCCGAACACATCACATATGGAGGTGGAGGACAGTTCAGAGAGTGACATGGACTCTGTGTCGAACCAGAGCCCAGTTGAAATTGATTCATCGGATTCCGACAGCGACTACATTGATCCAATGGCAGATATATTAAATAATCACTCACGCCTGGTGACAGGTACAAACACCTTTAGGTTTTCGGAGCCGGTGTCAACACCGATTTCTTATTCAGTTTCCAAATCAATAGCCAGAAAAATCAAATACAACAAATTCATAGATTTTGCTAATCTCCTACCGACAACAGGTTACCAAACACCCAGTTTCGCACTAACTATTAACTCTAAGGATCAACTCAGCTTAGCGCCCTCAAACAATGCTAAGAAAATTTATACCATTGATTCCTGGACTTCCGCCTTCTTAAGGTTCGTAGCAATATACTCAAGCTACTACCCACATGAAACTCCCCAACTCATGAAATATGGGGAAATAGTTAGGGATTTGGCACACCGTCGTCCAGGCATGGCCTGGTCATTCTACGACAGCCAATTTCGGATGTCCAGGGAGCACGCCATCATCCCATGGGATACTCTACACACGGAATTCTGGGTAATGGCCACTACGCAACCAACCATGTCAAACTTCTCTAATGGGCAATCTAATCGTCCCTTTCGGGCGGGGTCCGGCAGGTTCCCTCGGAACACCAACTACAAAAGTCAAAGACAATCCAAGTTCCTTGATAACACCTGCTGGACATTCAATAAAAGAGGTCTCTGTAGAGAACCCAGATGTCCACATCCCCATGTCTGCGGTTTCTGCAGAGGGTCCCACCATTCCGGTCACTGCTCATTCAACAGCAAAGAGCAGGCCTCTACCACTACCGGTGCACAAACAATCATTCAAACTGGAACCGCCCAATCCCATCCCATCAGAAAGAAATAAGTCAAGTGTTCGAACCCCTATTCAAATTCAAAAACTGAGTGAATATCTTACAGGTTATCTTCATAAAACATATTTGATTAAGGGTTTTTCAGAAGGGTTCAAACTAGGTTACTTAGGACCTCGATTACCCTCCTCCTGCTCTAACCTCAAATCTTGCTCAGATTTTCCGGACATCATCTGTGACAAATTACAGGAGGAAATTCAAGAAAAAAGACTAAAAGGTCCCTTCTGTATGCGACCTTTTCCATCTCTGCAAATTAGTCCTATTGGTTTGGTTCCCAAGAAGTCCGGAGATTTTCGTTTAATTCACCATTTAAGTCACCCTAAAGGCAAATCAGTCAATGATTTTCTAGACCCCAAAATGAAAACTGTCAAGTATGCATCATTTGATGATGCGGTCAATCTCCTCCTTCAATGTGGAAAAGGCAGCTTCTTTGCTAAAACAGATATAAAAAATGCATTCAGACTAATCCCTATCCATCCTTCTGACTATGATCTTTTAGGTATTCAATTTAATGGGAAATATTACTACGACACATGCCTCCCGATGGGCTCCTCTAGTTCATGTAACATTTTCGAATCTTTTAGTACTGCAGTTCAATGGATAGCAAAATATAAATTAGGTATTTCCCATATTGTCCACATTTTAGACGACTTCTTAATGGTAGCCAATAATCGCCCAACATGTCAAAGGTATCTTGACTCTTTCTTACGTTTTTGTCACTCGACAGGCGTCCCTATTAAACACGAAAAAACAGAATCTGCTAGACAGATAATCACATTCAAAATGGGGCATTGAATTGATTCAGATACAAATGGAAAGCTCGTTTGCCTCAAGATAAAGCTTACAAAACTAAAAGCATTTTGTAGACTTCCATAAGAATAAAAGAAAAATTTACTTGAAAGAGTTACAATCTCTGATTAGGTTATTAAATTTTCTGTTGTTTGGTAGTAATACCTGGGCGATGTTTTTTGCGTCGTTTGATTGACTTAACTATCAAGGTTAAAAAACACCATCGCATAAGCTAATCTGGAAAGTAAGAGACACATGTTAGCCTGGGATCTATTCATTAAACATTTCAATGGCAAAAACTTGCTGCAGCACCAACGATGGGTTTCTTCAAATTCTTTATCGTTACATACAGATGCTTCAGGCTCTTTAGGTTTTGGGGCAGTTTTTCAAACACATTTGTTTTACGGGGCATGGCCAAGTCATCTTTTGTCTTTTCATATTACTTTTAAGGAGCTCTACCCAATTGTATTGGCATTAGAAATTTGGGGTCCCCATTTAAAAAACGAATGTATTACATTATATTCCGACAACTTCGCTGTGGTCTATATCATTAATAAGCAGTCCTGCAAAGATACTCACATTATGAAGTTGGTGAGGGGTTTAATTTTGTCATGCATGCAATACAATATATTGATAAAAGCAAAGCATATTCCTGGAAAAGAAAATATTTTCTCAGACCTTCTTTCCCGTTTAACAGGTACAAAGGTTTCCCTATTAGCTCCAAACATGGACCCTCAGCCACAAACGTGCCCGTCCAGAGCACCTGCTACAGCTCAATGAACAAAGTCTATATTCGTTATACTTAAGAATTCCTTGGCAAACATCAACCTCAAAAATCATATCACAATGGTTTAAACATTTTTTACGCTTTGGCATGACACACATTATACAGGCCAGGCAATGCTCCGATTTCAACCCATAAGCTGGGCCCAGTTCATTTCAATATGCCATGACTTAGGCTTACAGCCAAATTGCATTAGTCCATGGTTTCAGCATTGTCTTAATAATTCCGCCCTGTTATGATTTTCTTATCCTGTCACACGTTTCCTCATACAGAAATCTTATAGCATAAGAAAGCAAAGGGCTACTCCGACCAACCGCTAAGGTTTTACCTTAAATCTTCTCAGAAATGATACAGAGTTAAGTCTGGGTTAACGATATTGCATATAATACCCTTCTTTTAGGACTATGTTTCTTTCTGGCTTCTATGACTTTCTCGAGTAAAGCGAAATAACCACGACTCTCAAAAATGGCCTCACACCAATTGATCAATTCGAGGGAAATCGCTCATTTTCAAATGTCAACTGGCCAAGCGTTACTCAAAGCTTCATCTAAAAAATGAACTATAAACAGTCCAAGGGTCAAACAATCCACCATCATTCCTCAGCAGGCTAAAAATCGACTTCACTACTGTCCGGTAGAATTTTGCAGTAAAGAAACTTAGCTCTGTTTACGCACCCACAATAGGTTCCTCTTTCATTTCAGTTGCGCGACGGAAACAGTCACAATTTAGCTATTCCAGGCGGCTTTAAAGCTATGTTCCTAGAACATTCTGCCATCTTGACCTACACACACTACTACATCACAGTTTCCTTCCGGATCAGGGGGGGTTCAGACCTTAGCACACGATAGGACTTACTCAGAGGTCTCAAAGTTGACAAAAATTGTCGCTTGTCGTCAAGCGCTTACACAAAAGTACTTAAGACCTTCCCTTAACCCTACCCCTGTAACTTAATTCAAAGGAAAATATTTTCTATACTCGACTGTCTGAGGCAGCGAGATTTCGGTTCTAACTTATGGGAAAACAGAATCTTTTAACCCGTAATCCAATTGAAAGTCTATTCTGACTGTCATGTAGGAAGATTATAAACTCAACTATACCAACATAAATTTCCGGACTTGACTGGCTGATGGAGCAAGTTACTAGAGAGCTTTAGACAATCCAAGGTTTGATATCCTTCATACGGGTTTGGCATCAAGTCAATGGAGTGAAGTTGACAATACATAACATGTACATAATCAAAAGTGCCATTTCTGTCAAAAACTTGACTGAACTGACGGCAGGCAAGTATTAACACACTATCTGCGGAGAACTGTTACAGCTTTTTTAACTGGTAAATTCATTCTATTTATATGTCCAGTTAGCTTGAACCGTCTGACGGCGGAGCACTAGCAATAAGTCACTGTAAATTTTGCTATATACACCAGCTTGACCGACTGAGGCGGCAACGCAACAGTGTACTTCTAATTATGGACATTATCTTTACAATAGATGACAACATTGTCTTTGTATTAGTTAGGACTAATTTTGACCGTTGTAACGGCGGCATCATAGAATTGTTATATGTGATGTGTTATATATCACCATTGTAGTTGTTAGAACATGGTGAAGTAAGCATTAATGCCGTAATAGTTGGCAAAACCAATTACTTAATACCATTTCACAATAAAAACAGATATCGAAGTCCCACTTACGACTATCGGCCTCTCTATGTGCTATGTTTTGTATATATGTAAAGATTTACTGTACATTTGATCTTCACTTATATTTGATCAATTTGTTTGCATTCATTATGGTTATCAATATTACACTTACGGTATCAGTGTTATTTTATAGAAGATATCAATTTTTTCAATAATTTTCTTATTATAGAGTTCTAATAAACCTTCATTCACCTAGATTCCCTTTTAGCCAGGTATACCAATTTATTATTAAACTTACTGTACCTACTAATTTGCCACCTTTAAATTATCTTTATAAATAGTGTCTCCTGCACTACAGCATACCTGTGTATCTGGCGGTCATCCCAGATTATGCATATCTGGGCTTTTTTGGCGGAATTTTCACAGAATGGGATATTTTTTGCTTAATAGAATTTGTTCTAATGGCATAATAAATGGTTTTGCCCTTTTTTCAACTCTCATATACCTGTCAAGTTGCTTTTTGATTGATCTCCCCATACATAGTACCACAGTTTTTACCTGCTATATCGGCCACGATGCACATAATATATTTTATAGCCAGTGATAAAAATCTTTATGTCATTGTGGCTAACTCTCTCGTTCTTACACCGCAAGTTTGCATTCAGGGAATTAAACGCCACTTTGCTTTCTGTTAATTTATTCATGTGTTTAATAGCCATCAGAAAGTGTCCTGCTTGCACGTCGATCATTACCAGCCAATCAGCGTGCATCTTCTTCAATAACAAGAAAATTTCGAACCGTTCGTGCTGTTTTCATTTGTGTGTGGTACTTGTTCCTGCTTTTTGACTTATTTTCTACTCCACAACCCCCCACCCTTCCACCTCCTCACTATTTTTTATTGATTCAATGTTTCTGTTGCTATTAGTTTAACCTTTTTATTGTTTTCTATTTGTCCTTTTATTTTGTTATTTCATAATGTTAATTGTCAATGCGGATTTTTTCAGCAGCGTACTGGGATCTTTTTTGCTTAATAGATATTTGTTCTAATGGCCATTATAACATTTTGGACCTTTTTTCAACTATAATACACTGCTAGTTGTTTTTTATTGATCTTCCCATACAGTACACAGTTTTTAACCTGCTGATACGGCATAAGATGCACCATAAAATAATCTTAATCCAACGAAATGGAAGAAGACTGCAAACGAAGCTTAAACGATCGAACAGTTGTTACAGACATAGGATTGGAAAAACATGTGTAAACATATTATCACAATAATTAGGAGCAATTAACATATTCTTATTCTAACCTATACACATAACGTATATACATTTCATTCTTATATTATACAATGGTTTGGAAAAGCTTGATAAGATGTTGAAAAGATATAAAATCTTATATAGTTCTTCTCCGACGGAAAAACTCCGGCGAACAATTGTTGACAATAACGAATAAGTCTGAAGTAAGAAAGTTCAAGATAGAGCAGAGGCTTCTGTAGAAAAAAAGAAGATGAAAAGAGACCTCTTAACTAAAGACATTTGTGATGAACGCAACAATGATGAAGAGTATATATTTTGTTGAATATGATAAAGCTGCTCACATGAACATTTAATTTTGCATAAACTCTCGAGGTTAAAATATTCATAACTAAATGTAATAGTTATTTACATAATAATTTATCTTGTCTGTATGAAATGAGTTAAACAATGTAAAAAGCGCCGAAGTATACGGAAAATACCTCCAGTGTCAAAAGACCCGACAGTTGTCCACAGATGGTTACTGGTCTAAACATGTACATAAATCGTACTTCACTATTGACATTAAGTATGGGTAAGAGTTTGTATTAAGACGACCGTAGGGAGTCTTATCAAACTCTTACCCATATAACTGCAAATCGGCTCTAACAACTTGATATCAGATAAAAATATAGAAAGTGTCACCGCTTTAATTAAGCACAACATTGTTTTTCCCCAGCAGTCACGTACAAACAAGGATGGGTCCAATTACTTAATATGGCATGTAAAACAATGAGTTTTCAACAATACCTAGGATTGTTAATGCAATTCATTCCTGTCATATGAAACAAAATAATGTTTTGCTTACTTTTTCTAGAAAATTTAAATAGTAAGCAATTAATAATTGACATTTTTCTTAGAGTTAAAAGGATATCAAAAAGTTATTGTGTACTCATTTGTCTCTGCGAGCTGAGCTCCACGTGTATTATCTATGCAATAAATTTGAATGTATCCTGACATTGCTACAGTGTTATCAGCCTTTTTAGAAATACCTGACCTGGCTAATTAAAATATGCCAATCACAATTTTCACTATCAGCACTGGTTTCGTCATGAAAAAGCGGCTACACTAATTACTGCCGAGTAAGAGCCGATTTGCAGTTATTCAATATTAGCGGGCATGGTTTCCTTATCGAGCACGTGTAGATAGAATCCTATTTTTCGGATAGTAAATGTTTTAGCAAGTATCCGGAAAAAGTCTCGCACGCTCTGTATATTTATTTAGTTTATCTGCCAACGACAGCTGCTTAAATATGATGTCAGTGAT